GTCCCCCATAATAGAAGTGTCCCCGATGATGAGCCTGAGGCATGTTAAGCAAATTGTTTGGAAAGCTCAAAAAAAAAAATGTATCTGTATCCAAGTTATGCCTTAGGGAACTCGACTTGAAGGTAAAATAAAACATCCTGTATTTAAATCAGTTAGGATAGGCTAAGTTATGCTGCGGTAGACAACCTGACATTTGAATGGCTGTAAAACCCCAGAGGTACAGGGCCATCGCAGGTGGGTGGGGGGCTCTGCTCTGTCACTCAGGAGTCTGGGCTGCTGGGGCCACTACACCCCAAACATTGCAGGGAAAGAGCTCCGGAAGGCTTTGCACCGGAAGCGACATACCACACTTTGACTCACAATTCATTTGGTCCAAGCTAGTCACCCGAGCATGGGGCGTGGGGGCCCAAAGTGCAATCGTATCCTGTGCTTGCAAGGTGAGGAGCTATAAATATTCAGTGACGAGCACTGAATAATAATTCAGTGACAAGCACTTAATAATGACCACAAAGCTTATCCCTGAGTTATCCGGGGCAGCAGCTCCCAGAACTGGTTGTGCGGGAGAACTGATTGAGGACAGCCTTGTTCAACGTACAGATTTCAGAGCCCCTATCCCTGGAATCTGATCCAGAATCAGGACTCTGTTTTAACAAGTGCCCTAAGGGGTCCTGATGCACTGCCTCCACAGACCAGCATTTGAAAAACACTGGCTTTGAGTCTTCCTGTCCCTTAACCCCATCTTGAATTTACGGGGCGCTGGATGTGTTTCCCAGGAACGCCTTGACAAATCACCCCAAACTGGGTGGCTCCAAACAACAGAAATTTAATCTCTCACAGTTGTGGAAGCTAGAAGTCCAAAATCAACGTGTTCTCAGCAAGGCTGGTTCTTTCTGGAGGCTCGGGGGCACAATCCATCCCATGCCTCTCTCCTAGCTTCTGGCTGCAGGATGCAATCCTTGGCATTCACTGGCTTAGAGCCATAGAATTCCGATTTCTGCCTCCATCTCCGCTTGCCCTTCTCTGTGTGTCTATGTGTCCTAAGGGCACTCGAGGAATCCAAAATGATTTCATTTTTTTTTTAATTTTTTTTTTCAACGTTTATTCATTTTTGGGACAGAGAGAGACAGAGCATGAACGGGGGAGGGGCAGAGAGAGAGGGAGACACAGAATCGGAAACAGGCTCCAGGCTCCGAGCCATCAGCCCAGAGCCCGACGCGGGGCTCGAACTCACGGACCGCGAGATCGTGACCTGGCTGAAGTCGGACGCTTAACCGACTGCGCCACCCAGGCGCCCCTGATTTCATTTTTTAAAACCATCATCTAATTCATCTGAAAAGACCATTTATCCAAATAGGGTCACGTTGGGAGAACCTTTCTCGTAAATACCTTTCTGGGGTCCATATTCAATCCACTGCAGGCACACATTCAGACTGAACCCAGTCTCTGCCCGTCCTCTCTGGACAGCCAACAGTGGACTTTGCGAGCCACACACCACAAGGGGTCAGGCAAGCCTTACTTTTCCGCTGCTAGTTCCCTGCAGCACCCAGGAGTCCTTTCAATGTCAGGGGGAACCACTTGGGCACTCCCGCTGTGAGGGTCAACCAGGGCAGGCTGTGGGGCTGGGATCCCAGACCCGGGAGCCGATTTCCTTCCTTGCTGCCTCCTGCAAAACAGAAGGATTGCATGCTAGGCGAGCACGTCTGTTTGTACAGCTGTCTCTGCCAAGCCACTGGGAAAGGTACCTAACATTCCAATAGCCTCGGGCCCATCTAGGACCCGGATGTTGCTGGCCTTCCCCTCCTCCGCGGTGAGGGCTATGTTCTTGACAACTCCCAAGGTTGGAGAATTCCGGGTGGATGGTCATAAGATATTATGAGGAAAATAGGTATGGGCATTCAGGACATCAAGCGAACGCTTATTTTTATATTCTCTAAAAGATGGTAGTAATGACAGTACATTAAGTAGAACACCTCAATGTCATTTGACACATCTTGAATTAGTAATAATGGCTCCTCAACAATTATTTTCCATTTAAGCAATTCCTTTGCTCGCCAGAAGCGTTTTAGTGCATTCGGTGGGATATCATACGTTAATCTTGCTTGGTTTTCAAGATTATGCCTAGGAAGAGGCACATTCCTTTCTGTCTGTGGTTTTTCACTCAGGAATGATGAGTCTGAAATGTGACAACACAGAGCCCCCACGTCACTCTCCCAAAGTCCTAACCTGGAGAGACCTGTGGTTTCTCGCTTGGGTGGTGGTGGGGAGGCATATGGAAGTACGTCTCAGGGGACTAGAATTTGTCTCAAGCCAATTCGCAGCAGGGGGATGGGATTCCTAGGAGCTTGGAGTGTCTGGGCCTGGCCTTCCTGTCGAACTGGCCCAGTGCCCCAAGCTGTCAGCTGTGTGGTCCCCTCCTCGGGGCTCTGCCTGACAGTCAGCCTCGGCCTGTCCTGTTTCTTCATCACTTGCTGTGATTTCTGTCCATGGCCAGTCGGTTTATTTCATCATTTCATTGGTTTTGTGTTCGGCATTTTCCCTCCTAGAATGTAAGCTCCTGGAGGTTAGGGGTCTTGTTTGTTTTCCTGGAGCCTGAAACCGGTAGGGCTTGGATAAATTTTCTTTGAAACAACGAAGGTCCACTTTGGTTGTGCCTGGAGCTGACCTTCTCAGGGACCTGCTTCCAGGACCTGTTGACTGGTTGTGTGCAGAAATGTTTGCTTTGCACAAAGAAAACCCTCTGCTTATTGTAAACCTTTGCTTTTTGATCTGTAGATTTTTCAGAGTTTGCAATATGCAAATGTGAATTGTAATCTCCAAGAGAAGAATTTACTGTGGACTGTTCTCCAAAACGTTGACCTTCTGTCTTGGCTGCCTGGAGCTGTTGTTCCAGAAAGGGCTTCAGGCAGGCCTGAGCTCCATTCCCCTGTCTGGTTGTGCTGGCCAGCTGTGTTCCCTACTGGCTGGGGGCTCCTTGTCACTGCCGAAGAGACGTGGAATGACTTCTGGACAGAGTCGTGACATCTGTGTTCCCAGCCTGGTATAGTCATCTTCAGGCCGTTTCAGTGTGAGCAAGTCACGTCTGTTCTTTGGGCCTTGGTTTCCTTACTTCATTCATTCATTTGGCAGATGTTTATTGAGTGCCTACTAGGTGCCTGCCTCACTGCTAGGCACCGGCGGTAGAATGGTGAGCAATGAAGGCAGTCCTGCCCTCCTGGAGCTTACAGTATAGTCAAGAATAAGGATGTTACCAAACAGTGCATGGAGACGTATTGAAATGTGACCATGACAAGTGCTGTCATGGAGGGGAAGTCCCTGATGGGGTATGAGATTCTAATGATGGAGGGTCTAACCTAGTGCAGGGTTGCATACCGTGTAGAGAAGACCACCCAGAGTTGGAAGCTGAAGAATGAACAGGGGTGAAGAAGGGAGGGAGGATTTTTCCAAGCTCGGAATCTTCTGGGACTCCGGCCCTGTGGTAAACAGGTAGAGATGAAGGGGGGCCAGTGGGGCTGGAGCAGGGAGGTTGGGGAGTGCAGAGGCCAGGAACAGGCCACCCAGGGGCCCGTGGTGTGGGGGCTGGGCTTTATCCTGAGAGCCATGGGAAACCATAGATGTGTCTGAGTCTTTGAGTGCGGGTGTGAGCAGCATAGAGCAGCATGCGATGGCTTTGCATTTGGACAAGATGCTACACTGGGGAGTAGCTTGGAAATGGACCAGAGAGGGCGGCCGTGGGCCACACAGGAGGTTAGAGTAGTGGTTCAGATAGGAGATGGTCATGGAGGATCGGTCCATAAATATTTTTTGAACACCTAGTATGCCAAGTGCTTTTCAGTGAACCAAATAGGCAAAGAACCCTATCCTCATAGAGCTGATGTTTTAGTGAGGGGGGAGATGAATAGTAAACATAATAAGTGAGGGAGCTGAGATGTTGGGAAGCATTATGTGCAAAGGAAAAAGAAAAATAAGTTGAACAGAGTAAGTGAGTTGGGAATGGAGGTAGTTGATGGCAGAGATCCTTAGGAGGTAAAAATGACAGCATTATGGGGCTCCTGGGTGGCTCAGTCAGTCAAGCATTTGACTCTAGATTTTGGCTTAGGTCATGACCTCCCAGTTCATGGGATTGAGCCCCACTCGTCTTCAGGCTCTGTGCTGATAGGCTGGAGCCTGCTTGGGATTCTCCCTCTCCCTCTCTCTCTGCCCCTCCCCCTTCATGTGCACACATGTGCTCTTTCTTTCTCTCTCTCTCAAAATAAATAAACATTTTTAAAAAATGACAGCCTTCTGTGATGGAGGCTGGGAGGTTAAGGGAGAGAGAAGCGTCAAGGTCAACTCGTAGATTTCTGGTTTGTGCAACTGAAGAATGGTTGATCAAGAGTGTACTAGGCCAAACGTGACACAAGTCTTTCTGATTCTGCAGCCGTGTGGGCCCTGTGGCAGTGGCCGTGGCTGCAGGTGGGCCTGTAATCTGGTCTCTGCATCCCAGAGACCACCCTGCTGTGGGAAGTCCCTCTCCTGGATTCGCCACACAGGATGCGCCACGTCTCTCTCTGTGCATGGCGGGCCCACGCTGTGGGTAGCTGGGGCTCCTGCTGCATTGCCATCAAGCCCTCTCCCTGGGGTTGGCGGCATCTGTCCCCGTGTGTGCTCACTGATGGAGCTCAACAAACTTGATGTTGCAGACTGCTGCCCCGGGCGGGCACGCTGCCAGCATCGTCTGCGTCTCCCTGCCCTTGCCGCTTCCTCTGGCCTGCTGAGTGTCCTGTGTCTCTGGAAATGACTCTGCCTTAACCCTCCAGGGAATAGGGTATTTGTAGGGTGCATTTCTCGAGATGGCCTGGGGGCTGGGGTTCATGAGCTTTAAGAGCTCTGGGGTCTGCATATTCCTAGGGTTCTGGGTCACTTTGACCAGGCTTCCCCTGAATGATGATTTCAGTGACAAGAGGGATAGGGTTGGCTGACCCTGGGACCTGCCTGAATGGTCCCTGCTGCTCCCTCCCTAGAGAAAGCCAAGGCTTCCTGTTGGGCTCCCCTTGGGCAAATGCCTGGCATGGACAAAGGAAGATGATGAAATAACAACCATGATGAATGGCCACTGAATGCTTTGCACACGCTGAAGAGCTTTCTGTGGATTATTTCACTGAAACCTCAGAGCAACTCTATGAGGTAAGTGCTATTAGTATCATCTTTCTCCTTTTAGGGATGATGTAATGAGGCTCAGTGAGCTTGCACAAGTTGCCCAAGGTCACAGAGCTAGCAAGGTACGGAGCTGGATTCACACCCAGGCCAGCCCGTGCTCTGAACCGTCTGCTCTAGCAGCTGATGGACGGGCACGAAGGTCACCCAAGTGGGGGGGGGGGGGTGTTGTTCAGACTCCAGTCCTGACTTTGCACTGCGTCCTGTGGCAATTTGGACCAAGTCCATTTACTCATTCATTGATTCCTTGAATATTGATCAAGTGCCTCCTCTTCAAGGGCTGGGGGCCCGGTGAAGTGATGTCTCACATGAAGGGCTCACACGTGGTAACTGTGACAGACTCATAAGCACATCATCTGGGTTGCAGAGGGTCAGGTGCTTTATGGAGCAAGGCAGAGGTGCGGGTGACAGTGACTGTAGGGGGCAGGGGTGAGGGTCTGGGAAGATGCCTTTGTGTGGAGCCCTGAAAGAGAAAGATGTTTGCCAAGCTTTCTAGGCAGACAGAACTGTGAGAGATGGCCCGACGATGCCCAGAGTGCCTTAGGAACTTTGGGTTGTCTCTATAGGTGGAGTAGAAGTTCACAAGTGTGGTCTTGGTTCTATAATTAGAACCTACATGAGAACCACCTGGGGTGTGTGCAGCCAGTTTGTTAGAATGCAGATTCCAGGCTCCGTGCCAGTCCCACTGAACCAGAATCTTTAGGAATTGGGGTCTGGAAATCTGCATTTCAGCCAGTGCCTCAGGACACTCTGATCTGTACTGAAGTTTGGCACAGGTGAGGAGAAGCAGAGCAGGGACCAGTTCTGGGCTTATAACAGAGGTCGGCAAACTTCTTCTGGAAAGGGCCACAGAGTAAATATTTCAGGCTTTGTGGTCTAAGAGGAAAATTGAGGACACTATGTAGGTACTGATAACCATTTAAAAACTAGGGGCAGCTGGGTGGCTCAGTGGTTAAGTGTCCAACTCTTTTTTATTTTTTTAATTTTTTTTAACTTTTATTTTTGAGACAGAGAGAGACAGAGCATGAACAGGGGAGGGTCAGAGAGAGGGAGACAGAATCTGAAACAGGCTCCAGGCTCTGAGCTGTCAGCACAGAGCCCGACACAGGGCTCGAACTCACGGACCGCGAGATCACGACCAGAGCCGAAGTCGGATGCTTAACCGACGGAGCCACCCAGGCCCCCAAGTGTCCAACTCTTGATTTCAGCTCAGGTCATGGTCTCATGGTTTGTGAGATTGAGCCCTGCATCAGGCTCTGTGCTGACAGCATGGAGCCTACTTGGGATTCTCTCTCCCTCTCTCTCTGCCCCTACCCCCCCCACCAAAATAAATAAACTTAAAAAAATAAAAATACAAAAACAGGTGGTGGGTAGACTTGACCTACCATAGTCTAAGCGTAGCCTGCCGGCTCCTGTTTTAGACAGTTACCCATCAGCTGAGTGGAGAAGAACTGGGATGGGCAGAAGTGAGGAGAGCAAAGCCAATGCCATATCCAGGGGAGCGAAGAGAATGTCTGAGTTAGGGCTTGTAGAGCTTCCAGGGGGTGGGGGCTAGAATGTTAAGAGATGGAATAAAGGACAGACTGGACAAGAGCTTGGACAGGAGGGTGGGGCCGAACAAGGAGTCAAGAATAACTGAACTGTTGGCTCGTGCTCTTGGGTGGACGGGGATGTCATTAGCTTACGATACGTAAGAACATGTGTAAACATAGTGCCGTGTTGAGCAGAGGTCCCGTGGGTTGAGGACTGAAAGGGACGTCTTTGCATTTGACCATTCAGAGGTAATTAACGACGTTTGTGGGAGTAGATTTAGGAAAGCAGTGGGCATCAGATGTCAATGGATTTGACAGGAATGGGAGTCAGGAAATGGAACAGGTCGGCTCACTGTCCCCACGCTCTGGCCAGCAAGCCCAGTGAGTGCTCTTCTCAGAGGCAGAGCTTGGGGAATGCACAGTCTCTCCTAGCCTAGGGCCCCGACCCCACAGACTACTCCCAGTGCTGGGTCAACTCACCTGGGGGCTTCTTGGTGTGTGTGTGGTGGGTGTTCTTCTCACCATGTGGGTCCTCAGCATTTTCAAGATCCAGTGATTGTTGGTACACGTGTGGAAGACGGGGGAGGAGAGGGGCATCCTTTCCCAGGAAGTGTGTCCTTCCTGTACCTTGGAGATGGCAAACAACCATATCCCACCCCTAGAAGTAGATGCCCTCATAGTTAGCATCCTTTCTGCAGAGTTTCTGTGCTCTGGCTGGTACCAGTGGCATGGTGGGAAATGACAGAGACTGGGAATCCTGGCTCTGTGCCTGACAGCCTCGTGGTTCTGTGAGGCACTTTAACCTCTCTGAGACTGAATTTCCCTCTCTGCAATGTCAGGGCTTGGACGGGATGGGCTCACAGGTGTATTCCAGGTTTGAGCTCCTATTTCTGTGGGATGCTGGGGCAGATGCCTTGCGTGGACACAAGCATCTTCCACTCCAATGTTTTGTTTAGGGGTGTGCCCAGGCTGTGTCCTGAGTGCCTGCTGAGGTGTGTACCGAGGGCACCCCCCCCCAAAGTGGGCACACCAGCCTCTGCCCCACCCTGAGGCTCTGCCCCGCACGCCTGAGTTCATCTTACTGTAGTCTCCACGGGCGCTCACTAAACTCATCCTACCCCATCTCATGTCAACATTTTCTTTGATCACGGGGGAAATGAGGACATTAAGGACAATGTGATGGTTTCTTTTAAAGCTAACTTTTCTTTTTAATATAAAGAATTGTTCTTTCTTTGAGGTCATTTCCTCTCTCCCTTCATTTAATCGTTAAGATGTGCATTCTTTTATGAAATAAGGGTAAGGGTAGATGGTAGTTTTTTCTACTGACCTTACTTAAGAAAATGGATGTTTGTAACATCCATATGGGTCCCTGCCTGATTTGGGGGGTATCTTATTGAGCCATGAAATCCAAGTTTCTAGGCTGGATTGTGACACCAAATGGGGATAATAACATTGGGTACTTGCACAGAATTGTTGTGTAGATTGAGGTTCTGCGGGAAGGCACAGTAGAAGGCACAGGAAGGCACTCGTTAGCCACCAGCCACACCCCCACCCCCCCCCCCCTCTTTCAGACATTTGGAGGACCCACTCATGAGAGTTCAGAGGAAAACAAGCAGCCGGAACACCACAATGCTCCTCTCCCCAGGGCTGGCTGAATATTTCACCCTTTCTGGAATCCTGCTGTCTGGAATCCTTCCCAGTTAGTTGTTGAAAAGAATAGGGAAATAAACATTACCATTCATGCATTCTTTCATCTCTTTGTTCCTTTATTAACCTTACACCTCTTTCTGTTTAATATGTTCTAGAATTGAGTGTATGGACATGGTAGGATACCAAGCTCCCATTCTGCTTGGAAGACAGACATGCTGGGCCAACAAAAGCTATATGTTGTGGTCAATGCTCTTAATAAAGTCAGATGGAAAGAAGTAGAATGAGATAGATTACACAACTCTGGTTATTTCTGCAAATGAGCACTATCTTTAATCCTGAGCTTCCTGGAAACCTTGGTAAGAAGGAAAACATGTTCCTGTTGTCCAATATGGTATTCCCAAACTTCCATCATTCTTCAACAGCCATTGCGTGTTTTTTGCCTTTCCTGTGGATCTACCCAAATTTTTACGCACTTGCTTTTTTTTTTTAAATCGATACAATTATTTCACTTAAATTGAAAAGAAAACTTGATATTTTCATAGCTTGAAGACCACCATCACTTACCACAAATAGAGGATAAACACATACATAAATGCATAATCATTAAAATAAGGAATTGTCTGCTAATATAATTTAAAATAATCTGGTTATTCTGTCTGCCACTTAAAATGCACCAGCTACACTAGGGTAATACAATGACATATGTAAGGTCAATTGAAGACAAACTTCTTTCTTGGCGTAAAATTCAAGGAAGTATTTATTGCAAAAGACCAGAAGTTTCATTCAAATGGATGTTTCTTATGAACCCTATAAAAATTAAGGACATAACATTAAGTCTCAACACATTGAATGCTTTGCTCTGGGGAGGTGAGCCAGTAGCAAGACAAACATGCTGTTTCTGAAGCTCTGACTCAGGAGTTTGCAAACTTATTCTGTTAAAGGGATCCGTAGCGAAGAGTTAGGCTTTGCGGGCCATATGGTCTCAGCTGCAATTACTATTCTGACTTTGTATCTTGAAGTAGTGACAGACATGTAAAACGGGAGTGGTGATATTTCAGTAAACTTTATTCATGGACAGTGAAATTTTAAATTTTGTATATTTTCACGTGTTACAAAATATTATTGTCTAAAAATTCTTTTCAATCACTTAACATATTAAAAGCATCTTTAGCTTGTAGGCTATATAAAAACAGTTGTGGGCTGGATTTGGCCCAAGGGCTATAGTTTTGAGAACTTACCAGAGTCGAGATCTGTTATGTTTCGTCCACTGTGGAAGGCTTCACAAACCAGCAGCAAGGTCATGTAAGGGGTTGGCAGCAGAGTTAGAACTAGAACCCAAATTTTTCAGTTTCGAACTCTGGGTCCGTCCCCATTCTAGATGCTGCCGCTCTGGGTGGAGGAAGCATTTACTCTGTGTCAGGTCTGATGTAGGTCTCTTTGTAAATAGAATCTCACTTAATCTTCCCGGCATCCTTTGTGTGGCATTTTGATCCCATTTTGCAGGTAGAGAAACAGAGATTTAGAGAGCTTAGGAATTAAAATGCTAAGTCATGGAGTCATAGTTTATACCCAGATCTATTTGGTTCCAGGGACTTTGCTAAGGAATAGCCTTGACTTTGATAAAGAATCGTTTGCCTGTCTTCTTTCTCCTGCACCCAGGCTTAACCCCCACAAAACTGCTCTTTAATTATAAATGCCTGGCTTGTGGGGGAAGAAAACATGGCCCCCACTTTTCAGTAACAAATAAGCTCTATGATGGATGAGGGGAGTGACAGCAAGCACACAGGG